AGGGGAAGGAACAATAAGGAAGAGAGGGAGGCGGCGGTGGACTCAGCACGAGACGATCCTTCGAGCCGTCAGCGGCACCTTCAAGGGAGGAAGGAGGAAGGGAAAAATGAACTGCGGGAGATATAGGACGAAAAAGAACAGAAGTCAGCGGGGAGACAATTAGAGCTGCAGATCGGTGATGCCTGCAGCTTGGACCGCCTTCCGAGGTCCGCTCAGGGTGGGGTATCCGCCACGGACTATCCGAGCCAGATGCTCCTTCCCTTCAGCTGTCGGGGGGGTGGGACTTGGGGACCAGGTAGCGAAGTCGGTGCTTGCCGTACGACCGCACCTGGAACTGAACATCTGACTAGATTGCCCCCCAACACTGCAAAGCGTGAGTCCCCAGAACCCGACGACCAACTGGCGGGAGGGGGAGAGAGGGAGGGGGTATGAGGGAGGAGGAGGTGGAGAAAGAGGTGGATGAGGTGGAGGAGGAGGATGACAGGGGAGGAGGGAGGAGGGAGCGGGATGATGATGAGGAGGAGGAGAAGGAGCAGGAGGAGGGGGGGGACCAGTGTAAACCCAAGACTCATCAAGTATGTTGCAATAAACCCTCCCTCCAAGCTCCCTCGTCAGAAATTCCTGCTCGGATTCGTTTTCACTGAAAGGCATGCCCCGTTGGAAGAGAACCGTTTGAGCATCCAGAACCGTGCCAGGACACCACTCCCGGGACGTCACCGCGGTGAATCGCCGTTCCTGTTGTGACTCGAGTATCCCGAGTCGCGCGCCAGAACACCACTCCTGGGAGTCCAACGTCGCGAAATCGAAGTGACTGTGGCGCCCCGACCACCCGACCTCCTGCCCAAAACCACCACGTCTGGGACGCTCGCAAGGAGAATCCTTGAAGCTGCTGCAGACTCTTATGAAGGGGCCCTGGGACACACAAATAAATAAGCACAAATAATAGGATTCACTATATTTTCCTATAGTTTATCGGTTTCCGTATTCCCACCCACTTCCCATATGTTCCCATATTTCCCAGGGAGTCGACGATTAATTGTGTGTGTTTCCCCTCCTCATCTTAACACGACTGGGCGCGGCGCTAAAGCAAGAAAACATGTTGAAAATGAGCCGCCCTTCATCTGTGAAGCTCTTGCGAGCTTTCAATACGAATGCGTGCGGTGCCAATGCGTGAACAACATCCTGAAAAGGAGCCGCTCCGCGAAGCTCTTGCGAACTCTTCAGACGAATGTGCGCGGCGCTGAAAGAGGAACCACATTTCGAAAACGGGCCGCCCTCTGTCCGCGAAGCTGTTGCACCCTCCATGCATCAGGAACATACCTTGTGTGAGGGAGCCTCCGGCGAAACGCCCGACGTCCCGCCCTTGCGACCGGCCTCGGGGTGCGACAGGGGAGAGTGATCTACAAGGAAAACGAGCCCAGGCATGCAACGTCCTGATGTTTTCAGGACGGCGCCCCCCGAAGTCCAGACCCTCTCCCTGGGGCAAATGTTCCATCCTGCATCGTTTTTGTTGACGGTCCCGGGGATTGGCGAGGGCCCCGCGGGCCGAAAATAGCAAAACAAAATCTGCCGTCCTGAATTTTGTGTACGGCGCGATCATGTCTGGGAATGCATCGGGTGCTGCATCGGAAGTGCCCCTGGCCCAAGGTGCCCCCAGTCGGGGATGCACAGGACCCCCTTTCTAGTAAAGCAATTGGCTCCGTGAAAACGACCTCGGGCCCAGACCTGGTGGGCGCAGGCCTGGAAAATGACGGCCGCGGCGCCCTCTTGAGAACCGACAACGGACAATTCACTAATCGACGTGTCTTGAGCAGGGACCGACCGTCCCGGCATTCCTATAGTCATACCACGAAATGTTCTTAGAACCAGAAAATATTCGAATACCAAAAACAATGTTCTTAGAACATAAGCCCGATGTGTTAAAACACGACAGTCCCAGCCAGAAATGTTCTAACATTTCGTGGAAACCACAAAAAGTTGCTAGAACATTGCTTGGTGGGGCTATAGGCACGCCAGGACGCTTCGTCACTGCTTGAAACTGACTCCTCCGAACTCCTCCGGCGACGCGCCAGCGCGGAGGCGCGCGCGCCCGGCCCGCGGGGGCACCAGTGGCAGGAGGAGGAAGAGGAGGCGGAGGAGGAGGAGGAGGAGCAGGACGTCGAGGAGGAGGACGTCGACGAGGAGGAGGAGGAGGGGGAGGAGGAGGAGGAGGAGGAGGAGGAGGAGGAGGAGGAGGAGGAGGAGGAGGAGGAGGAAGATGAGGAGGAGGAGGAGGAGGAGGAGGAAGAGGAGGAGGAGGAGGAGGAGGAGGAGGAGGGGAGGAGGAGGCGGAGGGAGGAGGAGGAGGGGGAGGAGGGGAGGAGGAGGAGGAGGAGGAGGAGGAGGAGGAGGCGCAGGAGGAGGGGGAGGAGGGGGAGGCGGAGGACGCGAGGAGGAGGAGGAGGATGAGGAGGAGGAGGAGGAGAAGGAGGAGGAGGAGGAGGAGGAGGAGAGGAGGGGGAGGTGGATGAGAAGGAGGAGGAGGGGGGGGGAAGGGGGGAAGAGGGGAAGGAGGACGAAGAGGAGGACTGGCACGACCACGGGCCTGGGAGGAGAGAGCGCGAGCCGGGCACCGCGGCCTGCCCTGGGTGTCGATGCCCAAGATCGGCGCGTTGGCGCTGTCGATCAGCCGGGACAGGTCGTCCGCGATCCGCCGGCTCTCGTCCATGGCCTGGGGCTGCTCGCCGCGGGCGCTGCGCCCATAGATTCGAAGATTCGACACGACGATGACGATGTCACGATGTCGTCGTGTCGTCGAAGATTCGACACGACGACGACGACGATGACGAAGTCGTCGTCGCGTCTTCACGTGTCCCTCGTCGTCGTCGTCGTCGTCGTCGTGGTCGTCGTCGTCGTCGTCGTCGTCGTCGTCGTCGTCGTCGTCGTCGTCGTCGTCGTCGTCAGCGTCGTCGTCTTCTTCGTCCCCGTCGCCATAAACATGAATTCTCGGAGGTCCGCGCGGTTTTCCCGTATCTGCGCTGGGCCCCCCGTAGCGGCCCCTCCGGCGCCGCTCCTGGCGCGCTCCGCGCGCCAGGGAGGAGGGTCCAGCGCCGATCCAAGAAATCCGCATGGACACCGCAAACAACATGCTCATGCCAGTCCTGCGTCCTTCGAGCCCAGCGGGGGCGATCGAATCCAGACGTCCAGAGGCCCCCGAAAGGCCCAGGGGAGGGCAGCGAACTACCAAAACAAATGTCGCTTCGAGCAGGCCGCAACCGAGAACGCGAGGCGGCATCCCCCGAGAGCACGGGGCCCCCTGGGGCCTGGCGGCCGCGGTGCACGGCCAGCATTCTTCGAGGACGCGGGGCGGGCTACCCAGGGAGCTCCGGGGCCCTTGGGGCCTGGCGCCCGCGGCATGCAGGGCGAGCACGGCGGGTCGGGAGCTATTTTCTCAAAATGCATCGCCCCCAGCCTGTCGGGTGGGGAAGCGCGATCCTCTTCCTCCCGGGCGTCCTCGAGCCCCCTCCTCCTGGCCCCCTCCCTGATGGGGCCTCCTTGAGGACCGTGATGTCCTGGCCCACGCCGATCACGCCGACGACGGCGCCCTGGGCGTTCAGGCGGCACGCCACGTTCAGCAGCAGGTCGAGCTGCTTACCGTCCTCCGCCGCCGGGTGCCAGGGCTGCGAGTGATGTACACGCGCCCGCGGGTCGTCGCTAGCTGCGACGGCGCGCTCCCCCTCCCCTGCCATCACCACCACCATCACCCCAATCACAGTCGGGCCGCTGAAAGGAGGAACGCAAAATACGGAACGAAGCCCCCTCTTGGCCCTGTAAGCGCCTCCGTGCCCCAGGTGGGCAAGAGGAACAACGCTGGCGGAACCTAGGGAACATCGAGCCCCTTCCGAACCCAAACTGTTCCTCATTTCAGCGTCTTGACTGTACGACGGCGCCCTCCCCCGTCCCCTGCCATCACCACCACCATCACCCCAACTGCCCAGGTCGTCATCGACAGCATCGGCGCCCACGCCATGCTGCTCTCGCATCACGGCGTCCACGTCATCCCGCCCTCCGGTCCTGCCTCTGAAGTGGCCCCAGAGGGATGGGGCGGCCGAAGCGGCGGGGGGGCCTTCGTGCTGAGGGGCGCCTCAAAGTTGTCCGAGGCGGTTCCCGAGCAGGCGTGGTCGAACACCGCGTTCACCTAGGCGCGGCATCGTCTCCCTCATCCTCCTCCTCATTCTCCTCCTTCTCCTCCTTCGCCTCCTTCGCCTCCTCCTCCTCAGCCCTGTGAGCGTCCAATTATGGATAAGTTTTGTCGGCTGATCTTTCGACTGAGAGCTACGATGTAGCCGGGAGGGTCCGCCGCCACCTTGCTGGTCAACAAGCTGCATGGCAGAGGCTGTCCTATTCTTGGCAGCAATCACACCTTCCAATCTGCAGCTGAAGAATTCTCTGTTCCAGTTCCGCTGTTATATTGCTGTAATGATGAAAGGCCGTGGCAGGGGGGCGGGGGGGCCGAAAACCCCCGCTTCCCCTCCCAAAACCGCGCTGCCTGAATTCACGGGGGGGGGGCGGGGGCGATACACAAACCAAGACGTACGATCCGCTCTCCCGAGGCCACGGTCCTGAGAATCTAGATGGCGCCACGCTCGCGATCCCGAGTCCGCAATTCCTTCTTTGAGAGCGTTCGATCCACGCTCCCGACACCATACTCCAGTGTAAACTCCACGAGGCCCCCGCTCCCCAAGCCACACGCCTATGTAAATCGTGCCCGGCTCGCGCTCCCCGAGCCATTAACCCCTTTTAGATTACATGGAACTCGTGCGCCCTCAGCCACGCTTCCCGCAGAAAGCACCAAAGGCTCGCGCCCCCGAGGCAACAATCCCTTGGAAACTGCTTCAGGTTCGCGCTCCCGAGGCCACAAGACCTTACAACGTACGGCAGACTCGCGCCCCCAACGCCACAAGCCCTCGCAACTTACACCGGACTCGCGCTGCAGACAAGCAGTCCGATCGAGTCAATGCTTGGCCCAGAGACGGGCGCGACTTTCTGTGAAATCGCAAGCACCACATTTGGTCCCCTAGGTTTTTGTATAAAAACGGCACAAGGCGTCTTCACATTGAGGAGCCCACAACTACTCACAAGGACGACAATAATGCCCATTCTGAAATACTACGCAATGGCGCTACCGAAGCCACAATCCCTAGTAAAGGTACTTCTCGTTCGCCCTCCCGAGGCCCCAAACCTGTGTAAATCACGCTGGAATCGCGTTCCCGACGCCATGAGCCGTCAGAGCTTTCGCCGAACTCGCGGTCCCCTAGCAACTCTCTCTTTTGCAGATTACGCTGGCCTCGCGTTCCGTCAGCCACAAGTACTACGCACATGAAAAAGGATGCGCGCTCCTGAGGCAACAATTCCAGGCAAATAAAACTTCAGGCCGAGGCCACAAACTTGTTTTATAGGACACCAAATTCGCGCTCCCCAGACTCACATCCCCTTACACATTACACCGGGTTCGCGCTCCCACAGCCACACATGTTCCCAATGCGTGACAGGTCTGTATCCTCGAAGCCACAACAATCTCTGGTATTTTCCACGCAGTGGCGGTCCCGAAGCCACAACCCCTCATGCATTAAAAAAGGATCCCACTCCCCAATCCACAATCTCAAGTCAATTACGACAGATTCGCGCTCCTGAGGCCACAACACCTGGAAGACGTTACCAAGCATGCGTCCCCGAAGCCACACTCCCGTGCGAACTACTACGCGCTGGCGCCCCCAAGTTCACAATCTCTAGTAAAGCCACGATCCATCGCAAGTTCCACGGGGCTCGCGCTCCCGAGGCCGCAACTCTTCGCAGCGTGTCGCAAGGTTGCGCCCACGAAGCTGCCACTCTTTGTAAGTTACTGTCCCGTTGGCACTCCCGAGGCCAAGCGCCACCCCTCTCCAGCGCAGAAACAGCTCACGTGCTCTGAGTTGGGATCTGTGCTCGGGGGGCGCGCTTTGCCCTCCCATCGCTCCCCGGAGAGTTCCGCTCGGGGCGCGAGGTCACGAGTCCTTGCAAACATAGCTAGGGCTGCGCGCTCTCCCGAAGCCTCGAACCCTTGTAGATTACAATGGGAGCGCGCTCCCGGGGCGACCATCAGTTGTGAATCATTTCAGACGCGCGCAAGCAGCCAGCCAACAAACAGCCCAAGTCAGCTGCCAAGTACCCCCACTGAGACAACAAGTCAAGGAATCGAAAAACCAACCATCGAACCGACAAGAAAACCATCGGGCCTAGCAGCCAGGCGTGGCCATGCAAGCAATATGAGGGCGGGCCGGCGGCAGAGGGCGCACATGTTCAGAAAATCCATGTCGCCCTCCTCATCCTAGTTAATTACTCGTCCCCCTCCTCTTCCTCATCCTGCTCCTCCTCCTCCTCCTGCTTCTCCTCCTCCTCCTCCTTCTCCTCCTCCTCCTCCTCCTCATCCTAGTTCCTCCTCCTCCTCCTCCTCCTCCGCCTCCAGGACCGAAGCGTTGGGGGTGTTTGGTCCTCCCTGGCCCTCCGGAGACCTCCGTGCCTCCCTCCCCTCCCCTCTTCCTCCTCACGCGTAGATCTCGCGCGTAGATCTCTTCCTCCTCTCTTCCTCCTCTCTTCCTCCTCTCCTCCTCCTCGGAGCCGACCGCGCGCGTCGATCTCTCTCCACTCGGGGGGTCGCCTCCTCCGACTGGCCTCGCCCACCTCCGCGCCCGCTCCTGCCCCCCCTCCTCCTCCCCCCTCGATCTCCCACTCCACGCCTCGACCGCCACCCCCCTCTATGCCTCCTCTGGTTCCTCCTTTTTAGCTCCTCCTCCTCCTCCTCCTCCACCTCCTCTATCTCCTCTAGTTCCTCCTCCTCCTCCTCCTCCTTCTCCTCCTCCTCCTCCTCCTCCTCCTCCCTCACACCACCTCCGTCCTTCTCCCCTTCCTGCTCCTCGTCCCCCATCCCTGTTCCTTCTGGAGAAACTGCTCTCTGCCGCGCCACCGGGGCCCGTGCGCGCGGAACGCCGACTCGGGCGAGCGGGCCCCCGCCCGTGCTTCGGGGTGCACTCACAGCCGAGACCAGAGCCAAAACGGAAGCGGCACGGAACAGAAACGGCCCCACCCCGCGGGCTCGATTCACGGGCGCGCCGCCGAGCCTCTGGGCCGCTCCGCTGGCGGCCAGGGAGCCTGGGGAGAAGGCCCCGAGAGTCAGGTCGGGCCTGTCCCTCTACAGGAGGAATTCTCAAACCTAGTCCAAAAATAGTTTGGGGACGCTGTTCTAGTATTTTTCGACGACTATGCTTGAACATGTGTTGGATCTGTTTTAGCTGGTCATCCAAAACCCGCCTGTAGAGGGACATGCCCGACCTAAATCGAGAGCTCGACCACCGCGAAACGAACCTCAGGGCCCGTCTGCTGCCACCGGGCGGGGGCGAGAGCACGGCGGAGAGGCATCGGAGGGGCGCGGGCCTCCTTCCTGAACTCGGGGGGGATGAACTCCAGGAGCGGGCGGCCCATGACCTCGGCGGGCGAGAAGCCGGAGAGGTCGCTCACCTCGCGGCGGCGGGGGGGGCTCGGGGACGGCTGGGACGAGACCAGGCGAAAGCATGATGAGGCCGAGTTCGGACGAGAACGCGGCGTGCTCGTGCCGTGGCGCCTTGCGCGCTGGCGTCTGACACCGCGTGGATCGTTCCACCTGGAGCGGTCGCGGCTTCCCGATAGTAAGCATCGTTCGACATCGGCCGATCCTGGGTCGCGGCCGGAGTTCACCATTTGTCTCCCACGACACGAACCTAAAGTACAGTCGGCCCGTATCATGAGGGTGCGCGGTAAGGATGCAGGGGCCATGGCCGCCCATTTCGAAGCTTCTCGAGCGGGGCGCGGCCAACGAAAGAGGTCAAGGATGGAACGAGGAGGCAAGGATGCAAGGGTACTCTTGGGAAGGCTGCCCATCCTCACTATGCGGGTTGACTGTTAAGCCGATTCATCTCTTAGAGCCAACATCACCCATTCCGTGATTGCTTGCACCGTTGCGCCGTAAATTGCTCCATGCGTTGCGCCAGTCAGCCCGCGATCCGTAAAATCGTATGTTCCACTGTCAGGCGCACCACGGTGCCATAGGTTGCGCCATAGGTTGCACCAAACACACCGCAATCCACCGAACCGTATCTTCAATTGTTGGTTGCATTTAAGCACATCCCACCGAAGCGCACATGGTTCCGGCACATGTTGCCCCATAGGTTGCGAGAAGCCCCTCGCAATCCTCAAATCGTTTGCCCCAATACTTTACGTGTCATTGCGCCATAGGCTGCCTATAGGTTGCGCTGGTCATCCCGCAATCACGAAATCGTCTGTTTTCATTGTTGGTTCTAGCACTGCACAATAATATGCACAATTAGATGCGCAAAAGACCCCGTGATCCGCGACATCGTCTCTTAGATTATTACTTACAAGGCGCGCCACTGGATGACCCCAAGGGGGGGGGGGAACCCCCCCCCCCCCCTTTCCCCGATCCGTCCCTTTCCCCTAACCGTCGTCGGGGAATCCCCCCCCTCCCTCCCTTTCCCGATCCGTCGTCGGGGACCCCCCCCCGTCCCCCCCTTTCAAAAGAGGGGGGGGGGTCCGACCCCCACCCCTCCCCCCCTTTCGCCACGGCGACCCCGGTCTCCGGAACCCGACCCCTACCACCCCTGACACAAATCCTCACCCTTACCCAAACCCCTAACCCGAACCCCAAACCAAAAACCCTAGCCCCAAACAGTACTCACTACTCATTACGCATACTCTCTACTGACTTCTGACTACTCACTACCCAGTACTCACGACTCACTACTCACTACCCACGACTCACCACCCACGACGCACTACTCACTACCCCCTAGTCCCTACTGACTACTCACTACAAACTACTCATTACACACTACCCACAATTCGCTACTCGTTACTCACTACTCACTTCTGAATACTCACTACTCAGTACTCACGACTCACCACTCACTGCCCACGACTCAGTACCCACGACGCACTACTCACTACCCCCTAGTCCCTATTCGCTACTCACTACTAAGTACTCACTACTCACTACCCACTACTCAATACTCACTACTCACTAAACACTACTCATTACCAACCATTCACTAATCACAAATCACTACTCACTACCCACTAAGCACGATCCATTACTCACTACTCACACTTCACTACTCACTACTCACTGCCCACAACTCACTACTCACTATCTACTAGTCGCTACTCGCTACTCCCTACACAGTACTCACTACTCACTACTCACTACTCGCTAACCCCTACGCATACTCGCTACCCAATACGCACTATTCACTACCCACTACGCACTACTCACTACGCTCCCACTACTCACTACTCACTACCACCTACTCCCGACTGACTACTCCCTACTCACTACTCACTACTCACTACCCCCTATTCACTACTCACAACTCACTGCTCACTACTCATTTCTCAGTACTCGCTACTCCCTACTCGCTACGCACTACTCCCTACTCACTACTCACTAGTGACTCCTGACTACTCCCTCCTCACTATTCACTACTCACAACGCCCTACTCGCTACTCCCTTCTTTCTACTCCCTACAAGCTGCTCGCTACTCGCTACTCGCTACTCACCACTCACCACTCACTACTCTCTACTCACTGCGCACTAGTCACTACTCACTACCCACTCCTCGCTATTCGCCACTGTCTACTCCCTCATCCCTACTCCCTGCTTACTACACACTATGCGCTACTCACTACACACTACTCACTCCTGACTACGCACTACTCACAAATTCTTACTCACTACTCACTACTCACTACCCACTACTCACTACTCACTACTCACTACGCGCTACTCACTACTACCATGACCCATTACCCACTACTCACTACTCACCACTCACGACTCACTGCGCACTACTCACTATCAAATACCCACTACCCACCAAACTCTACTCAAAACACTCTTCTCCCTACTCCCTACTCGCTACCCGAGAGGCCCCCTCCCCAGCCCCCTGTTCGGCGCAAAGGGGGAAAGGGGGGGGGGGTCGGTATGAACCTTGATCCCGGACCATTTGGCCAATGCGATCCGCCTAGGCCACCTAGGCGATCCAGGGATCTATGTTATCTGGGGGGGGGGAGAGGGAGAGGAGAAGGAGGGAGGAGGAGGAGGAGGAGGAGGAGGAAAAGGATGGGAAGGAGGAGGTGGATTAGGTGGGGGAGGAGGGTGGGTTAGTCGGAGGAGGAAGGGAAGGAGGAGGAGTAGGAGGAGGAAGACGACGACGACGATGACATCGGAGGAGTAGGAGCATTCTTGGGACATCAAGACCTGGGGTTGCTTAGATGTGTGGGCCACTTTGAAGATCTGCCGGGCTCCTCTGTGCCGCTCTGAAGCCCGATGCGTTACAGTCGGATTTTATTAGTAGGTCGACCCTGCCAGATGAAGGGTGCCCTTGTGTCCTGTCTATCCCGTCCCACGTCCTCTGCGCGTCTTCTGGTTGTTCAGGGCCGCGTTGTCCTCGGAAGAGTCTTGTGTCCTCTCGGGTGTCCTGTCCAATCAACTTCGACTGTATGTTTGCCAGCATCGTCGTCATCATCGTTACCTCCGTCTCCATTTTGGCTCAAGCGGTTTCTTACTACTGGGAACAACATCCTCGATACATTTTGCAAGTGGTGCGCCATGTCGACCTTTCGCTGTTCAGGGATTCTCGGTGTGGCGCGACTGTTTGCTGCCAGGCATTCTGTGGCGCTGCAAGAGGTTAGCGGCCGCCGCGCCCAAGCAGCGTATTATGATAGCCTGGAAGAACACAATCTGTTGCAAGATGTGTATGTGAAATATCATGTTATGAATCAGCAGGGTGAGGCTCACGATGTAAGGGTTCGCAGGTCCGCAGCTGCAATCCTTACGAACTGCAAGATAAACGAGGAATACACAGACCCTCAGACGGTCCTCTGTCTCCGCATCATAGACAAAGTCAGGGCGAAGTCATTCGAACGACGGATGGCCGCCGCAGTGTGTGCCACGATCAACGGCCGTGTCTTTCTGAAGGAATTGTTAAAGAAACTGCCGGGCGACGGTTGGACAGGCGATCAGTTTTGGGAAGCTGCTCATACTTTAGTGAACAAGATTGACCCCGAAGAGCTTTTCACCGGCGCCTTCAACCGGCAGGCGTTCAATTCGTGGACCAAACGTGATCTGGCGAACAAGCGCATGCACAGAATCAGAGACAAGTTGAGTGGTGATATCAATTTTGACAACGCATCGCGCCTGGAAGTGTCATTAGACCTTGTAAGAGCGTGCGGCAAGTTCTTGGGCAAGAACGCCTTTTCCTTGTTGGAGCAGTCCTACGCGAACAACTATCGCCGCCCCGGGTGGTGCTCGCAACACGGGTCGCTCATGGGGCCCGGCGCCTTGGCGGGCGTCAACATCATCAACGGGACATGGAAGCAGAGCGGGACGGGCAGCACGCAGCTCGGGGATGTGTTGCAGCAGTTCGACGACTCCCACGCTAATATGCAGAAGCTGCGCCGCTTGTTCCGGGAAGATTTGCAGTCTCTCCAGGTGTTGGTCAAGAAGACACGCGGCGCGAAGCGGGCCCTGGCTAGGGAGCTATGCGAAGCCGTGGAACACATTCTTGGTATGTCTGACAGGGGCTTGCAGTTTGTGTACTGCGAGATAGCCAAGGTCGTCACATTCCACTACAACCTCCACAAGCGGTGCTGGCGCCTGCGCAAGCTGCGCGGCGACGCGGGCAATGCGGCTGGCAGCGACGCCGAGGACGGCGACCGCGGGAGCGACAACGACGACTGAGCTCGTGGCGCGCACATGGCGGGCAGGCGCATCGGTACCACGATGGAGCTTGGAAGCGCACCGCCACGATGAACGTCCAGCGATGTCTGTCAAGCAGCCGCTGCGCCTGGAGGGCGGAGTGGCCCTGGCGGGAGCGATCCTTCTTCGCATGAGAGTGCTTTGCACGCAGAAAAACAGTTCCTGCCCGCTATAGCTTTTGGGGGGCCAGAAACCTGGTAGCAGGCAAAAGCGTTTCGGAGTGTTTGGGTTTTTACCAGTGTCCTTCGAGGCCCGACTGACGGCCGTTGCGATTGATTATCGCGGCCACAGAAAACGACGACTTTGCGAGGATAAAGCTTATGGGGCCCTGCCCAAAAGCACAAAAAAACGCTCTTGCCCACTAGGGCTTTTTTTGGGTCGGAAACTTGATAGTGGGTAAGAGCGTTTTGGCTCGTTTTGGCATCGCCCAATGTCAGTCGAGGCCCGACTGACTGTCGCGGCGATTAAGTAGCACGACCATAGCAAACAATAACTTTGCCGAAAGAAAGCCCAGGGGCCCAGTCCAAAAACACCCAAAAAACGCTCTTGCCCACTAAGTCTTTTTTGGGGTCAGAAACCTGATAGTGGGCAAGGGCGTTTTGGCTCGTTTTGGCATCGCCCAATGTCAGTCGAGGCCCGACTGACTGCCGCAGCGATTAAGTAGCACGACCATAGC